CTGGCTGGAGCTGGGAGGAATTCGGTCTCCTTCCTCTCTTCCTTCTGCTTCGCCTTCCTCCCCCACCCAGAAAAGTCTGTTTTCAGGTCATCTGTAAGATTCTGTTATTGCTTGCTAAAGCTGGAGCAGATTTGTCTGCTGGCCGCTGAAAATACTTACGAGGTCTGCAGAAATGCGTGTGGTGGTTAAGCTCTCTTGGAATTGCCCCTCTTGTCCAGAATACCCACCTGGATGTAGGCTGTCTCTAGTCCTAGAAATCTTGTTAGTTGTTTATGAAATGAGCTATATTTAAAAAAAAAAAAAAATGCAAAACCAAACAACGACCCACAGCGAAAACAAAAGAGGTTTTTATTACTGTCCTGAATGATTTCAGTGATCCTGTTTACAGTGCATTTGTGTTGGCACCGCTGAATTGCAACTGGAGGCAGGGCAAAATCAGGAGCTGTGTTAGGAGCTTGTTCTGCCAGTGGATAATACTGTAACTGCATCTTTTGTCTGCAGGAGGCACTTATTATTGTCAGTGCAAGTGATTACAAAGCTTAAAAAAAAAAAAAAAAAAAAAATCGACTATTTCGCATCCTCCACAAATGCACGCCTTCCCCCCAAACCAAAAAGTGTTTCTGGCTAGGGAGCTGTCTGCCCCAATTACTGCAAACACAAAACTGCTTTGAAAACTGTAGCCTGCAGCACTTAGCACCGTAAAACTTCTCTAGGGAAACTGAAAGTACCTCTTTAAGTAAAGTTAGCTGTAAACTTGGATCAAAAGAGAGATCTTTATGAGATGGGTTACATTTTATGGACCAAATCGAGGTATTTTTAATGGGTAAGCAGGTGATTTTTAATGCCGCTCACAAGTGAAAACCTCGCGCCAAAGTTTTGACTCTCTAATTTCAGAGCAAGATTCAACCTGCAGCTCGTGACCTTGCCCACAGGAGACGTCAAAACAAAGCCAATGCGTTGACTTGCCTCACTGCTCCTTTACTTAACCTTCCAACTCTTCTTTAAGAAGTTTCAGCGTAGCCAGTTGGCCTTCCAGCGAAGATTAAGAAACTTCTAAGAACTGTTTGAACAGTGGTTTAAAAACTCCCAAAGTGACCACAGAAAAAACCCTAAAGCTAAAGTTTAATTTTAAATCGGGGAAACAAGCAGAAAGCTAGGGTGAGTGAGTTTATGGTGACTGTCGCAGCTTCGGCAGTTCCTCCAGCCGCGGGTCTCTTGGGCTCAGTCGCAGAAAAACGCATTCAAGTTTTTGGCTGGAGCAAATCTTTGCCGTCAGGGCAGGCTCAGCCCTCCTGTTGGTACTGCTCTTCTCTGCAGAGATGCCTGCTACGTTGCCAAGTAGCTTTACTGCTGATGCGAGCCTTGACGTCGCTTTTCCCCGATGCCTAGGTTTTATCGTCTTGATCAGAGCAGAGCGAAGAGAGTCCGGTCCCTCCACGGTCTTCACCCGACTTCCCAGCGCTGGATTTCGGGAAGCTGTGCCGGCCATCCCGTTTCTCATCCTCTCCGAGCAGCGCTCGCTCGGCAGTGGCTCCCTTTGTGTTTTGTGAAGCGTACATGTAGAGCGTGCTGGCATTTTTTTTAAAACGGCGTGCATTTATCTGATTAAGAGCTATGTAAATTTAGATGCAAACTCGTTTCAGCCCTCAGGGTGCTTGGCGAGTTGCCTGGCATGCTCTCGGTGCTGGAAAAGTCTGCGCGCCACTGTTGCTCCAAGGGAAACTTTCGAGCACGTCATTCCTCTTCTTTTTTTTTCCTTATAAAGGTTATTGTGCCTCAGCCCTCATTGAATTACCTCCCTGGTTCAGAAAGGAAAGGTTATTTTTCCCTCTCCTTTCCCCTTGGCAGCTCGAGAAGAGTTGCCATCACTGCTCACTAAAAATGTCCCTTGCAGGGCCACTGGTGTTTCAGGCTGCTCCAGGGATGCCCCTGAGCTCTCTGCTGGGGCCACCGACCGGCCCAGGCAGTACAGGGGCAACCCAAAAAGGGATCAGGGCAACTAAAAGAGCTTTTCTGGGCCCAAAGGCCTGTGAAACCCATTTGTGTTGTAAATACAGTGGGAATATTTGTCAATCACAACAGAAAGAAAAGGTGCCTGAGGATGCTCACTTCGGCCTGAAATTTTTCATGTGTTTTCTCCAGTGATTTGAGGGGTGGGTAATTACTCTCTCTTTCCTGTAAAACCGAGAGAGGACCATCAATATTTCATATTAGAAGACGTGGTCGGGATAAATACAGCTACTGCTTTTTTTCTGACATGCGTGCAGTGAGGAGCTCACCGGCGCTCAGCTCTGGTCCCCGGCTTTGGCCTCGCTGCTGGTTTGGCCGAGCTTGGGGTCCGGTCCTAACCTCGCCGTTTTCCTCCGTGCACCTATTTCACCTTGTGCAACGCCTTTAATCGCCGTCTTCTCCAGGTGCGGTCTGGGAGACTGTACCTGATGCTCTTGGATGTTACCCAGTTAGCATGACCTGGGACGTAGCAACTGATGGATCTGCAGGCTCAATTAAATAATAAAGACATTAAAAAAAAAAAGGCACCACGCTCCCCGATGCAGGGTCCCCCAGCTCAACCCCCGTCTGCAAAATACTTCGCCTGCGCCTGCAATTTGAACTGCTTTTTTCCATCAGTGCGGGGGCGCAGCCCTCATCACCGCTGTCCTCATTTCCCAGGGCTTGACACCTCCTTGGGAAGAGGTGGCGGCTCTGGAAATGGTGGGTGACCCGGCCTTTGGGAACCAGCCCAGCCCCCAGGGAAACCTGGAGTGTCTGATGGGAGGATAATGAGATGCTAATGAAGCCCCCGGGGGAATGAGCTGGGGGGGGGGGGGGGGGAAGCTGTGAATGTGCATCCCTGTTCCCCTTCAGCTTCGCCGGCAGCCCCATTTACACTGGTGAGAGTGTCGTCCGGATCATCGTCAGGAGGTTTAAAAAACACGTGCAAAAATGAGTAAATGCACATAGATAAGCTGCGGTTCAAGCCACGGTTCTCTTCAGAGGAACATAGTTTCACCTATTTCCAGGCAGAGTCTTCCTCTTGTCAAGCGGGGAACTTTTAACAGGGATTTTTCAGTCCACAGTGAGACTCAATTAGCCATTTAGGGGCTGATGGGGAGTGATTTTGAGAGACGCTGCAGAGCATTTTGTGCCCTTTCAGGAATCCAGGATCCGAAGTGTTCCCTCCAGCCGGAAAATCTGTATATGGCCCCAATCACCTCGGGTCGTTACACAGGCTGGAAACCTTGTGTACGGGTATGCCAAGCCAGCACAGCCTCTCCTTTGTTCATGGAGAAGCATTTGTTTTATAAAAACCTAATATAAAAGGGGTTTCTGTTCAGGATGGAGAGGCCTGACGTTTCTTTGCCACTTAAAACCTGCTTGGCTATAAGTGGGACTCGAGTGCGGTTTTCTGCCTGGTGCAGGTTGTGTGTGAATCACACCCCTTAAAAACTCCTCTAAATTGATAAAAATATTTGTTCTACCATTTCCCTTAACTCTGTGAAAGCACTCTGAATCTTCATTCCTTCAGAGCTGCTGTTGTTATTATTTATAATAAACTGATTGTTTTCACTGTGAATTTTGTTTATTTTCTCAGATTCAACGTGTTGCCTTATTTCCTGTAAATACAGCATAAGCTGTTGTATTAACAAGGTAGTCTTTATAAAATAGCCTGGTTAGCGTTTGGCCAATATCCACCTGTTGGGGATTTCACAAGAGCTGGCAGAAGGAATTGAAAGTTTAAATAACTTTCCCATGGATTTACCCTTCAGGGCTGAATTGTTTTGCCTAAGCGATTTAATACTGGCAAGAAATTGGCGGCCGGAGTAATGGTAGGCAGTATGAGAACAATTTGAATCACCTCGTCAGTCAGACCATCTTCTCCATTTGAAAGCAGGCGGTGGAATCTGTTGTCCTTAAAAAAAAAATGAAAACTCTTGCCTCTGCTTTGTTTTTAATTTCGAATTTACAAGTTTCTCGACACATTGTTACTGCTGAGTGAGGCTGTACTAGGGCCAGGAGAAGCCCCTTTTTTTCTGCTTTGGGTCTAGAAAGGTGTTTTGCTTTAGACTGCATGCTTTTTTATCATCGCCTCTGCCACTGGAAGCAGGTGTTTCTGAATACCGTCGGCCTTGCAGATATTTTCTCCGTCACTTACTCGGTTTGTAGTCATTTCATGCTTTGCAAAGGCTGTCACTTTGGGTTTGCTGCTTTTCTTTCCCTCCTTCAAAACGCATTTCCTATCTAAAATTAGAGATGTGCCCTAGAGTTTGGTGGATATAACATATTTTCAGAGTGATCAGACCTGAAAGGAACCTTCCTGAACCCCCTGCTACATTTGCATTGCACATGAAACAGGTCGCAGATTCTGTGAGAAGCTACGAACCATACTGTGCCGAGAGGGAAAACATTGATCTTTTTGTCGGGCTTCAGCCTGTAAATCATTCTCAAACAAGCGTTCCTCTGTTTTGCCCAGAGCTTCCTGTTGCTGCTGAGAGTACCGGCGTACGGCTGGCACCAACCAGGCTCCGAGGCTGGGAGTTTTGAAAAACGTTTGAATGTCGGTCTTAATTTCCCTTGAAGTCACAGGTAGACTGGTTTGAACTTCAGCGAGATTTGGGTCAGGGCAACCAACTTACTAAAATCCCCTTTACATTTGCCACGCAGCTCCTCCATCCTCTCAAGTATTTTTGGCTACTTTGCCGCAGCAGGAGGGGTCTGGCCTGATGGCCTGCATAACTTCGAAGCAGAAAACCTCAAAGTGGCAGGACTCTCCGGCCCGCGTAGGTGTTGGAGACCTGTGGACGATTTTGGCCCAGCTTCACCTGAATCTGAGCCGACTGGTTTGGGTTTCCTTGGGAAGGTTTGCCAAGTACCCGATGGCTGTCTGTGTTACAGATGAGCCTGTGCCATTTCTTGCAGCTTTCGTCACCTTTCTGTGCTTTCTTTTGCCCAGTTTACCGGACAGGCGTGGCCCAGTATTTCACCAGGCTGTCTTTGGTTTTGCAGGTAGCTGTATCCAGCTGGGTGGCAGGTGGATCCAAGGGTTACCATGAAGTTTTCAGGACCCCTGGAGAGCCAGAGGTTGTCTCTCCTTCTGGAGACGGCAATCTCTAGGGAAGCTCAAATGTGGAAAGCACATGTGCCGAAAATTCAGCCCAATCAGGTAACGTCTCTTCTTCTCCTCATTCATCTCAGTAAAGGCATGAGTCTATCCTCTGGTGTATTTTTATGTGAACAGTTGACACTGTTGCATGAGAAGTTACCTTCTGCTTGAGACCTGGGAAATTAGCCTCTGAAGTAAAAGTGATGCCTTTTTTATTTGAGGGACATCCCTGCAATCAGGGGTACAGAGCACACTGTACAGCCTACAGTGTGAGATCTCTGCTGTTGCTTGTGAAAGCACGTACATATATTGTCCTAATTAAGTTAATTTTACAAATTGCGTGGATAATTAACGCACATTTCTAGCGGGCGCCAACTCTGCAACAGTTCTTAAAAGCAGCTTCGTTTTCTTGGACTAAGTTCACCGATAACAGCGTTGAAATGCTGGTTGCTTTCCACACGAAGTGACGCCTTCTCACGTGTACCGTTACCGCTAGCTTAGCTCGGGCCTCCCCCCGAAACGGCATATTCACAGCGAAAGCCTGACTTTGCCGCCTTTTCCCGTTCTGAGCCGGATTCTCCCCTGGTGCGAATCAGCCTCGTTCTGCAGGGTGGGCTGTGGCTGTGTCAGCGGAAGCCAGATGAGGATCTGACTTGGTAAGGCACCGTCTGCTTCAGGGAGAACCTCACTGGCTGTAATCGGACTATTTATGGAGCGGGGTGGAAGCTCGTGTCGAGGGACGCAGAGCCAGGCACTGGCCTGTTCCCGTGAGGAATGTTCTCATAGGACTGGAGGAAAATTCCGGGTGGAAGGGGCTGCCGGGGGTCCGTAGTCCAACCTCCTGCTCAGGTTTTGCAGCAGGCCCGGCTGGGAGGTTGGACCAGGTCGCTCCCGGCTTTGCCCAGCCTGAACCGCGTTTGTGCTCCTTGCAGAGGCGGCGTCTGTCTGGCATGTCCGCTCAAAAATGCCTGTGAACTCCACAAAGTTTTGTTTCAAACAAAATGTGCAACGTGAGGACGGTTGTCATTGAGTTTCTGGTACCTTGTCGCCGGGTTGGGCAGAAATAACCACACTGACGAGCTCGGATCCAGTCTCGCTGTTCTTGATTCATATAAAATGTTCATGCAAGTCTATCAGCTGTTGTCAAAGCTAATCAGCGTGGTGTTTGTTTTTTCTGTCTGGTGAGCAAGAAACGGCTGTTGTTGTGTAGGAACAAATATGTTTTTAAGGGGCTCAGTATTAGTTTTGTTAATCCACATTTAGGTTTGCAAATACGTGGCCTGGTTGTCAGAGGTGCTGAGTATATTGTAGCTGTGGCTGTCTTTGGGCACATACCGTTTCAGACCCTGGTTATGGTAAACCAGCCTGTTATTCCATGCTGGCAGTATTCCTGGGGTTAGCGATTATAATGTAGGGAGATAAGATTACGGTATAACAAGATAGGTTAGGGACTCGGAGAGTGTAACCAAACCAGATTCTTGCGTGAAGGTTTCACAGGGACAAGGCGCTCGCATTTTTGCCTTGGTGAAGTTGGTTCTGGTGGCTCAGCGACCACCACCCGCATTAGGCAGTCTTCCTAGCAATCCCTCCTTTGCAGGACTGCGCTGTCGCCCGTTGAAGATGAGGTTCCTCACCTGCGCCACGTTTGAGTTGTGGCTGGAGCAGAAGGACTAACCTCAGCCCTGTCTGCGGGGAAGACTAACCTCTCCCTGTCCTGCCGCCAGGGACCTCGAGGGGGTCTTAACGTCACTGCGGTTGAGGTCTGCAGCACCTCGCGAGGTGTTGTCCTCAGTGGTAAAGCCTCGGAGAAGTTAGCGGGACGTTGGGCCGTCTGCCGCATGTGAAACCGGGGAGGCAGCTCTGTCGCCCGCCGTGAAAAGTCAGAGTAGGGTCAAGCATGGGAACAGCCCGATGGCTAAAGCCAGCGTCAAGTTTGTGCTCGATAGCGGAGTCTCGGGTCTGGCCTGGAGGAATACCAAGTTTGTCCGAGGTCCGTGCTTGGGAGCGCTTCCTGGCCCTCCGTGCTCGTTGCCCGAGGGTTTCTGCTCCTGGAATTCCCACCCCCAAAACCGTGCTGTCTTTGTAACCTTTTTCTTCATGTTTTCCTACATGTCAGTTCAGACGTTGACTTTATCAGCTAGAATGCCATAGCATTAAATGTTTTCTAGCAGTAAATAATCATTCAATGGGATTGAAATCTCTGTGTGCCTATGTACCAAGGTCAGATTTAGAAGAGAACATAAACACAGCTGTCTGCTCTGGGGAAATCCTGACTTGCAGTGCCACCGTGCAGCTGAAACCCCTTTATCTGTAGTCACATAGTTCTCTCGGTTCCTACAGTTCGTGACACCCGACTTTGCAAACTGTCGCGTGTGCCCCCCACTTCTGCAACGTTCATTTTGGCAACGTTGCAGTCACGGACGTTCGGTGTGAACGATCCTATTTTCTGTAATATCTGGAAGAAGGTCGTATTCCCTAACATCTACTACCTTCTTCTGAAAACAGCTGCAGTAGCCTAAAACCTGACTCGTATGAAACTGTTGTTTATTTCCCATGACAGTCAGGAAATCTGCATCCTTCTGTGTATCAGATCTGGCAACCCAAAGCGTGTGTAACTTTCCGTTCCTTGCTACCAAGGTAGACTGACTACAGAATGGGTTTTAATGAAGTCATCTGGTTTGCAAATGAGAAAATGTCAGCGCGTCTACAAAAAAAAAAAAAAAAAAATCTAATGATGGGATTGGAGGTACGCCGTAACTGTTTTCCAGGCGTTAACTTTCAGTTTTGACTCCTTAGGAGACATTTTTCATTCTAATATACAAAACCGGAACAAAGTCGGTTTCTAAATATGTGTCAGATTTGAGATCTTTGAAAGGAAGAAGGAAACTCCTCATTACAGAAAGAGGAAGACTTCACATTTTTAGTACAGGATGCCGAATCTGTTGGGGACTTCGGTCCTGATAATGTACGGGATTTTTCTGTTTCGTTTTTACTTTTTGGCTGAAAACTCCCATTTCCTACTGGCATGTGTATTTCTTTTAGTTTTCCTCCTTTAAATGGAGGCCACTGGCTCCGGGTATTTGCCGTATATCAAAGCCAGATGTCACAGGGGCTTTTCAGCCTGAAAAAATAGGTGGGCTGAGTCTGGAACCCTCCTAGTGCTTCGGAGTGTATTTGGTCTTTTTTTTTTCCCCCTTGTTTTTTTTCCCTGTCTCTTGGGTTATACAACGTGCAGATGACACGCAGAAGTTTTCATGTGATTAAGGCTTGAGAAATCAAGCAGTAAAGACTGGTCAAAGGTTGATTTTTGCATGTTACCAAGTAACTTTGCAGCAGAGAGGTGTGTACGCCACGGTTTTTATTTTTTTATAGAAACACAGTGTCACTTCTGTCATTTCTCCTTTCTTGCCTGTTCTAGCTCTTTCTGTCTTCGTGTTTGTTCTCTGTACCTCTTGAGGAATCAGGAGACCTCAGTTTATTTCCAGTTTTTTCACTCTCTCAGCACATGACCTCGGGTTGGTCTTTTAACCTTCCGATGCCTGGTTGATCCCGCGGGCGAGTCGGAGACTGACTTACCATTTTTGTAAAACATCGTGAGAGGTTGATGCATCCAGCTCTGCCGCTTTGCCAAGCAGCAGTCTCCCTCCCCGGTGCTGGTGCACGTTATCGTGCCGGCGGCCGTGGCTGTGCCGCTTGAGCTCTCTGCTGCGCCGCTAAACCGTGGGCAAACCCTGCAAAACGCCGCTTCTGAAAGGTATCAGGAGAGCACCTCTTAATTCCCGACCGGTGCAAGTGAGAAGCAGCCCGGCGGGCGTCACTTGGGGGTCGCTCTGGTGTGACACAAGCACTCCTGAGATCCAAGGAAGGACCGATTTGGCTGTGATGCTTACAGCTGCCCTTTGCAGAAGCCTCCCGGTCCTAACAAAGGTCACCGGCCTGCCCCCCGAGGAGCCCGCAGCGGGACTGGGCAGGAACAAATAGGGGAAAGAGCAAAACATCTCTGAGACAGCAGACACTAAAGAAAAAAAAAAAAAACTACTAGGTAAGGTGTTTTTCCTAGATTAGGCAGCAATAAGATTGAGTCATGTTTGAGTTCACAGATAATATTTCTTTTTAGACTGCATTTTCCAGAAGTCTCAAGGTATTCTTAGAGGTGATTTGTACTGTGCTCGCTCTCTGGAGCCTGAGTCGCGGCCTCCGGCCCTCCTGTCTCGTGCAGCGGGCCCGGCGGCAGGGTTGCCGGCTCAGGGACCGGCAAGGCGACGCTGCTGCTGGTGAAGGGGAAGCAGAACAACAGCTCTGCGTGCCTCTCACCGTTGCCAAGGCCTCACAGGCAGCTTTCTGACAGAATGCCCAAGAAATGGGGTTTGGGACACTGATTTGGGCATTGGGACAAATAAGATATTAACCATCACGGATGGTGGAGGCCTCGGGTCTGTCTGTTTTGTACGGGGCGCTGCGTTCCCTCCCTTGGGCAGAATTACTGACCTCTGCGGTTGCTCCCTTCGGAGTGGCAAAATGACAGACGCGGTGAGCGCGGCGCTGCCATTCCGTTACTCTGTGTAGTCACCTGCCGTCCCGGCACGTTGACTGGCCTCATGCCATGTAATGTAAAAATACCTGTCGGGAGCCCTTCCCAGAGGCTTCCCGCTCGCTGACAGCATTTAAAGGCATGTTCATCGATAGGGTGACAGGACATTTCTTGATAAGGAATCCAGCAAATAATGGCAGGAAGCAGGTCAACGTGACGTACCCCTGCTTTACGCAGGGAAGAGGGAGAAGCTGACGTCCCTCCGCTTCCCCGTTTGTGTCCCAAACACAGCCTGTCAGCTCCCTAGTTCTGCAAGGTGGCTTCTCCGTGTTTGTGCTGAAACAAAACTGACGGGTTTACACGCACTACTGTGGGCTGAAAAGGCGGGAATTAGCATCATGTCTTCAGCTTGGAAAGGAGGATACAGGTCTGTCACTCACACGTGGGTTTGGGATAGCGTTGATAGCTTCGCACGCCCGTTGTGCTCCTCAGGACGGAGGTGTTTGCGTGCTCCGCAGGTGGAGGGCAGGGAAGAGCTGCAGAAACCTCTGCTGTTATTTTATGGAGGTGCCAAGCAGGACGGAGAAGGAGGAAAGGTTCCTGCTGCGGGCGAGGCAAGCGGCACCTCCTGCAGATAGTCCAGAGACGAGCGCTCCGGCACCTTCGCGGGCTCGGTCTGCGATGGCTGGTGTGGGGAGGGGGGCAGTAAGGCGGTCCCCCCGCAGCAGCCGGGGGTCCTGGGCACCCCCAGTCGCTCAGGATGAGTAGGACCGGGGCTCGGTCTGGCGCCCGATGCTGGCGGCGATTGTGGCGAAGAGCTGGGAGCGCTGTCACTTGTTTGTTGGCAGGAGTCACGCACACATGCCGGGATGGGCAACCAGATCTGTAGGTCAGGCCTTGCTCTGATCTGGCCTCCCCTCCAAAATAAAAAGAGGGGGTGGGAAAGCACCAGCCGGAGGAAGTGGATTGTCCTGCAGTCAGTCCCCAGGGCGGTTGTTAGGTCTGTCTCGGAGCAACCTGCTGCTGCTCCTGTGTGAAAACGGAGCCCGCCGTCACTGGGCTTGGGTTACTTTTCCCTAATTAAAGCCGTCACGCTAGGCTATCGCTCTTCCACCCCGGGGGTTAAGTTCCGCAACGGTGGATTTGTGGGGACAAAACAAAGAGCTGGCCGCACGCGGACGCGGTGAGTGGCAGAAGGCGACGTCTGTGGGAAAGTACCTCCACGCCGAAGAGGAACTTGGCTTTCCAGCCCAAAGGGACTTTTTTTCCTTTCAGCCACTGTAGCGTCTCGGTTTTGCTTTTAATTTTATATAACTAAGGCACACTGACCTCGCTGCTTAATTAATTTTACAGTGCTGCGTTTCTTATTTGTGTTACTAGGATGACATGGGTACACCTTCGAGGGAGAGGGATAAAGATGGCTACGTTTGTGCGGGAAGCTCCTGGCCCTGCTCGGAAGCAGCAGCAGGGTTCGCGGGTGCGGTGGGACCAGCTCTTATTCCTTCTTCTGTTGTTTTTCAGGGGTTTAGATTAAACACCATTTCTTTTTCACATAGAAAGGCCGGTTGTTACCAGGGACTGAGTGTACAGTTGCTGTTCTTTATGTTCCAGCCTTGCTATTTAAAGCTAACTCCCCAGTCTGAATTTTCGCCTTTTGGCCTCACGCTGCCCACGAAGGGTGAGAAGGTGTAAGGACAGATCTCGGGAGGACCGAAGACCGAGAGGCAGCACGGAAAGAGGATCTCGCCCTTCCCACCCATGCTGTCTTTAGGAGAAGGCCTAGCCTTTTGCTTTGGCGGGCGCAGGGAAAACGGCGCTGAGCCAGGACAGACACCGCCAGGAGCCGGTTCTGCCAGGATCTAGCAGGAACGGGATTTGCCAGGAATGGAAGGGGATGGGAAAAATCCCCCCCGTGCCACCGAGGCACGGCCCTGCCTCCCTAGCGAGGAGCGCGAGGGACGCCGTTTTCGCCCCCCGAGGTTGTGTTGCAGGAGGGAAGGCAGGGGAGCCTGCCGCTGCCGCACTGACGGCGCAGCTCTCCCCTCGCCGGCCGAGGGCCCGAGAGCCCGTTCCTGCTGGCTTTGCTGGCAGAGCTGCTGTGGCGGGGCCAGGGCGGCGATTTCAGAGTCAGAGGCAGGTTTTTAAAGTCAAGTTTATTTTGTTCGATGGGGTGGTTTCAGGTTGGGTTTTAGCAGGTGAGCTTACCTACTGGATTCACCCAGATACTGCATTTCCAAAATAATCCTTTAAGCTGCTTGAAACCGTTTAAGTCCGCAGCATTGTCCAAACCTGGCTGTGGTTATAAGCCCTTCGGTATGGCTTTGTCTCCTTCCATTTAAAAATAGGCGCAACAAATAAAGCAACAAGGAACTTCATCTTAACTATCGCTCCTCCCTTTTCTGCCTGCTTTAGGTTCAGCTGCGCAGGCATCGCTTTGCTACAGAAGTACGCTCTGTAAGAACAGCCAGTAAATAACATAGCGGTGCCCGTTTTTCTCCCCAGATACGTTCTAGGTCCCTATCCTGCTGTCCAAAAGATGTTTTTAGCAGAGCGTTTAATAAACTCCTCACTGCTGTGTGGTGCATTGATCATACTCCCAGCATGCGTCCAACGAGCATTTCTGGAAGGAGCTCAACGTGTTGCAGACAGCGGGTGCCCTGCCCCTGGTGGGGCTCAGGTTTCACCCTTAAATTGCAGTAACGATTTTAGAAAGAATCATTGTTCCTTGGAATTGAGGAAACGAGTTTTCTCTTCTCTCCTGCAAAAGGGTAGGTGCTTTTTAAAAAGCCACGCTGTAGTGACGCAGCATCCAGAGGTCCCAGCTGAGACCAGGGGCCCGTCTGGATCAGACGCAGTCCTGCTGTGGTTGCACCCTCAGGGCTTCAGGGGCCCTGGCGTAATTACAGGTCTGCCTACAACGCTCTGCTTCCACGCGTGTTCTCGGCTCCAAGGCAGGAGAGTCAGCGACCTGTAACAAAGCGCGTTACTGTCTGTGCAAAGCACACAGTAGGCACACTGGTGATAGGTGTTGCCTGAAGTGTTTATTTTGCGTCAATGTTGGGTGTTTTTATTTTCTAAAATTCTGCTACTTCCCCCCCCGCCCTGTGTTATTGCGGGGAGGACGGCTCCAACCCAGCCCAGCAGCGACGTCTGTTTGCACAAGCCCTGAGCTTTCTTTTCCACAGTGACTGGTCAGCCAGCATCTCGTTTGCTTTCTTTCTCTTAAACCATCTCAGCAGTAGCCAAAAAAGCACAACGACCCTGCACATAGCAGAAGAAATTCATTTGGTTTCACTTCTCACTTCTGGATGCCTCTTTGCTAATCACCCCACATCATCCCCCTTGGAGTGAGACCAGACCTTTACTTGGTTGAAGTGGAAGGCTCTAGAAAAGCTGTAAATATTTCTGAAGACAGACAGACAGAGAGAGATTTTATGTCCGTGACTGATCTGTACGTGTGGTTGAAATCCAGGTCAACCCGATCAATGCTGGTGACCTGGGCCAAAAAGTGGTGATGGGGGGGGGAACCATCCCAAACTTTTTTAGGTGAAACCCTACCTGCTTTACCTCAGGTCGTAGTTAACTGTACTACTAAAGGTCTTTTGTAAGCTGTTCAGAATTTTATTTTTTTAGCGTATATACCGAGCTAAAAATATCCCCCATAATTTGAAGGAAAAATAAACCTTCTCAACACACCAACTCGGTCCCTCCCCTCTTCTGTCTGTCGGGGGCTGCGCACCTGCCTGGCTCCCATCGCACGTCTGGTTTTGTTCAAGCTGGGCATTTCTGTGTAGCTACACGGTTCTAAGGAGGTTAAAAAAAAAATAAACCTCTTAGAGCTAAGCCGGAGAAGACCCTGTCAGTACTGGAGAAACCATGACACATCCTTCTTCTTTTCCCCGCTGTACAGTGAAATTTCTGCGTGACGTTCGAGGTTGCTGTAAGGAAAGTTGTGATCCCCAGGGCAGATTTCTTGGGATGGGGTACGTAACTGTAACTGCAAGAACAAAGCGGTGATTCAGGCTGGCTCGAGGACCCCCCTTTCCAAAGGAGGCTTTGTTTCCGTGCTGAATAACTCCTGCGGAGGTAAAACGTTTGCTCTTTTCTGACTTGCTCAGCCTGTGTATAAGAATAGTTTGTTTTTCTCTCCGACAGGATGTAGCCATTTCTCCAAAGCAGAGGGATGAGGTCATCCAGTGGCTGGCCAAGCTCAAATACCAGTTCCACCTTTATCCAGAAACGCTCGCCCTGGCCATCAGCCTTTTGGACAGGTTTTTAGCTGCAGTAAAGGTAAATATTTGCAGATACCTAAACTGAAATAGATTTATACCACCCACTCAGCTGTTTCTGTGTACAGTCGGAGTGGTGTGGTTGTACGGAAACGCTGACTTCCCCCTCGGCTCTCACGCCCTCTTCCTTTCTCGCACACGTATAGGATGCTCCAGGAGCTTAATTTCAGGTTGTGGAACTGGCAGCGCACACTGCCGCCAGGAACTTTTGGAGGTAGATCCCTTCCGTAGTCATTTCTTACCCAGGGAAAGTAGCCGTTGCTTTAATAAGAACACACAGTTCTTGGGGGAATCGACCCAATACTTATACCTGCCAAGAATATTTTCCCTCTTTTCTCTGTTCTGCTCCTTTCCTTCATGTAATGCAGCTCATGAGTTTAAACGTACATTAACCTAAGAGAAAAGAGGCACCCTTCCTCTTCAGCTACATGCTCGCTCTTAACCTGGTTTGAAAGTTGGATTTGCCTCAGCACAGTACCTGTTCCTTTAAGCAATTCCTTTAAGCAATCAGAAAAAGAGGCTGTATAGAGGTTATTGAGATAAAAAAAAGAACAGTCTCTGCCTTAACCTAAATTGACTCATACAGCTAAAGGAAACAGCAGCTCGCAGTTAGGAACCTAGGCCCAGTGCCCTCTGACAAAAAAGTCAGGGAAAGTCCCTGCTCACCTCTTAATTTCTCTGGTGCTTCAACTGCATTTTATCTCGTTTGTACCACCTAGAATCACTGGGAGCACCTGCTAGCGGTGAACTCGCTGGAGGAAACAAATAGATGTTTGAGGACAAGTTTGGGCCTGGAAAGTGTGGTAGTGCAGGGAACTGGGAAAAAAAATAGGGGGGAAAAAAGGTACAGCCAGAGGCGATTGCTTTTTGGGGGAGTAGTTCACTACTGAGTGCTCTGTAGCCAGTCTGACAGACGAAGAGCTTAAGACTGACGTCAAGTCAGGCAGATGGGAAGGAGAGAGAGGGGTGAGCAAGCATGGTGCAGGCCACCAAAGGGACAGGCTGTCCCCTCCCGCTGTACTGAACGGAGAATATATACGCCCGTTTGCTTTTAAGGCTGTTACGCCATAGAAACTGTTTAAAAAAGACAAGTTAAAAATGAGAATTTGGGGTACCCGCAACTAGGATCTGCTGCTCTCCTGTCCCTCTACGTCCGCCACAGGAGGAGGTTAGATGTGCTGCGCTCGGGCCGTGTTTTGCCCCCGCGCAAGGGACTGAACAAACCGCGGGTCAACCCGAAATCCCTGGCCTTGAGCTGTGAAGCCAGGCTTTGGGTAGCCTTACCTCTTACCGTATTTGCTCAGTCACGTTCCGTGCTCGCAAAGGTGCGGTCTCATCTGCGCGCGTGTCTTATCTCATCACCGCCGCTGCTAGGTAAGCAATAGAGCTTAGCAGATGTGAGCAGAAGAACATACTCTCAGCCTGTGCACTTAGTTTCCATGTGACTTAGTTTGGTAGACTGCAAGTGACATCATCCATTAACCTACCCTTTAAATATTAATAAATATTGATGATGTTTGATTACAAGTCATAGAAGTTTTTATTTTTAAGGAGATCTCAAAGTCGCTGATCTACTGAAATACCGAGATGGGAAACAGATATAAATCCCTCAACAGCTAATGCCCTCGAGTACAGTTTTTCTTTCAGTAATTTGCAGCAGCCAAGCAATCTGCAAAAAAAGCAGGAGAATACGACTAAGGAGTCCACTGCCTGCTTCAGGCAGCAGCG